CCTTCATCCTTAGATATAATCGACTTAATACCCTCAAAATGTTTACCTCTATCTATTGCACATTCAGTAGCTAATTTCATATCATTTTCTTTATATGATTTTTCAGCAGTATTCGCTACAAAAGTAAGATACTTATCTTCTTTTTCTGCAGCATCGAAATGTTTATCTAATGGTTTTTCTACCACTCCTTTGAAAGTAAGTTTTACATTTTTTATCATTATTTTATTTTTTTTTTTTTTTTATTTAAATTTGCTTCATTTTGCGCCAACACCGACTTTGTTCGCTGCCTCGTTCTTAAATTATTATGTATTATGTTCACTTTGTTCTTAAAGTGAGTTGCCCATGCATCTCTCTCTACTGACATGACGCATGACAGAAAATTGAAGTTGAATCTCGCAAAATTTTGAATTCAAATCGGCAACACAATATGGAAAATCTACGCGAAAGATTTTTAGATTAGCAAGATGTGCGCCATCAATCACTTATTCATAGGTACTTAGCTCTTACATTAGGAACCTAGGACTATTCAAAACCAACAGGCAATGCCTCAAAATGACCAAGAAATATTCATGAGCACACTCAGTCTAGAACTGGCCTTCATAACACAATGAACAGGGTAGAAAGAACGCATAGCAGAGTTCTAGACTCTCTGAGAAGCCTGAAGCTTTAGAAGTAACCGTTTTCATTATCTTTTATTTTTTTACATTTTGCTCTTGAGTCTCACGAGTTGGGAGTCACGAGTCACGAGTCACTATGGACGTCCACACCTTCATAGGAGTTAGAAGTAGTTTTGCGGTAAAGGAAAATTGAACTTCCTTCAGCAACCTTGTGAAAGGAAGAGTGTCAACTGGCTGGACGCTCGAATGTAGACTCCCCCCCTCACTTCCTTTCTTCCCCCCAACGCTCAGCTCACTAATACTCCGCGATAAAGGCTATATTCTTTCCATTTTATTTATTTTGCATATATTTTTTATCCTGTATATAACTCACAATGAGGGTAAGGATTCAACCGTCAATGTCACTCTGTATCTCGGTATTCGATTGGGCAAGAAAAGAGTTAAATGCTGGCGGGAGTTGTGTCCTTGGATAGAGAGTAAGAGTAGTTGTATTTATGGAAGGAAAAAAGAAATAAAGCTTAAAAACTTAAACCGGAATTATGGTCCCAACGAGGGTCGAACTCGCGACCTTGGCGTTATTAGCACCACGCTCTAACCAACTGAGCTATGGGACCGTTTCTTGGCAAGTACAGAGACTGCTGATGATTCTAGTGATTCAAGTAAATTTGGAATACAAACTCGTATCTGGGCTATCTAGTATCTTAGAACGAAATGGCGAATATAAATCCCGGGAACTTCCCTGACGTGCTTCCTATGGTCGGCGGATTAATTTGCGCGGCGATGTTGGGCAAGCGGCCGTGGCACTCGCTGCTTGTTCTGAAACGATCCTGGCACTATCGGATTTGTCTCACAGGTGTATCCCCTCTCTTCCATAATCTGTAGTATTATGGGCTCTTCCAGTAGGTTTATTGCGGAGCCTCAGGAATATTCTAATATTGAAGTCTAACTGGAGCGTATAGCAGGGCATTCAAAGAGTGTAGCATACTATGTTGAGTGAATGGTACTATTATATTTGCAAGACTTCCGTACTGAGTGCATTGAGGAAATTAGTACGGAGCAGCTATGAAGTCCCCATCGTACTAGATGTCTGCGCTAGGACTGTGTTGGGCTAAAGGCGGGGGGTTTTGAGGCTGGCCCATGATCACCACAGCGTAGATCTTCACATCGCTGGCTAAACGGCGCATAACAGAGCAAGTAACTCATTGGTTTCACCTTTCAACCTTCCACTCTCCGTTAGTTTAGGCCTCCATTAGGGGGTGCTCTCTGCTGTTCCTCCTTTGCTTTACCTATCTTGCCCCTCTATCTAGCCCCAGCCCTGCAACTGCGGGCATTGGACCCGCGATTTAAAGGAGAACAAACAACGCACCTCCAGAACCTGGACAGCCAAAAAGGAAAGGAAAAGACAGAAAAAATATTCACGAGCTTTTTTTTTTTTGCATGCATTCTCTGGTTCCTCCCATCAAAACCTTTTCCTGCTCCTCTCTACCTCTGTTCTTTACCGTTTTGAGCATCTGGAAATCGGGAATTTAAGTTAGTAACTAGTACTAGAGATAGAGGCCAGGCTGCTTTGTTTTTGTCCTGCTGCAGCCTTTGAGCGCTTGTGTTATATATACCCTTGGAGCTTGGAGCTAGGAGATCTAGGTATCTGCCTTGGCTCGCTGCCTGGTTACAGCCAGCGCCTATCAACAGTGTTCTGTAACTATCACTTGCACATCTTCTTCACTGTTCTTTTATCGATTTGTGTGTTCATATTTTATTTCCCTTTGCTCTCTCTAAAACCTCCCCCCCGGAAACATCAACCTAAAAAGAGGAAAAGAAAAGAATACAACAGGAGAAAACAAAAAGAAAAGAAGGCAACAAAACCGTGTGGGAACAAGACACACAAGTTCATTCATACTACTACTGCTTATACTCGCACCTTGCTCCTCAATTTCTCACCTTACCCAACAACCACCTGGATTCCCTATGAAAAAGCATATAAAGCCGTCTTAAATACTCCGTAAAGGAGAACGCGATTTCAAGAACTGGCTTCGACTTCTACGTCCTTTTCCCGTTCCTAGGACGCTTCCCCTCTCGAGGGTCTCTGAAGCCTGGGTCTCTCGTTGCAAGCAGCCAAGTTGCCCTCGCAGCCAAAAAAAAATGTCTAACCAGGCCATTTTACGCATTGGCCGTGTATGAAAACATCCCTCCCACTTTTTATTATGGTTGAACAAATCCTGCATGGGCTCGAGGTTTTTCGGGTTTCTAACGGCTCAGATGCTTATGATTAGGAAATTAGCCAGATCCAGCATGGCACAGACTTGTGTAAGTTCTACTCTTTTTGGTTTTAGGATTTTATTTACTTTTATAAATCAAGTTTCCTTCCTTACATCGCTTATATATCTGGCATGCAGCCAGTGATGGTAATGATTTCTGCTGTTGGGTTTTACAATTTCCACTATACTATTTATTTATATGGTGATAAAATAAGTGCTTACACATATGTATATATCACAGCTCTGGCGGTAGCTTGCAAGGAAGCAGATATCCGCAGTATCAAGGCGTTGATCGTGGGTCCTCCTGAGACCCCATACGAGTTTGGATTTTTCGAGGTTCGTGACTTACAGGCAACCCATCCATCCGTCTATATGAATACCCACGAACTATGCTGACAGATTTTCCTACAGTTCTCGATCAAGTTTCCTGAAGGTTCGATTTGAATTCTCTCTCTCTGTCAATATATATATATATATGTGTGTGTGTGTATGAGCTACCTATAAACATCACTGAGGTTGCTGTTTGTATTCTGCTCTAGATTACCCTGGAAGTCCACCAACTATTCATTGCACGACTACAAATGGCGGTCGATGTCGTTATAACCCAAACATTTACGCTTCTGGGAAAGTGTGCTTGTGAGTAATCGCTATGCCATACATTCCTTTTGAGTTACTGCTTCGTATATGTTATTACTATTGTTGTAATTGACTGACAGATCGAGCCCTGGTTTCAAAGGTCAATTTTAGGGTAGTTCTTTGACCATCTCCTCCCCGTTTATATAAAAATTTTCTGACTTTTAGTAAAGGACCTGGCGTGGTGAGAGTGGAGAGCAATGGTCTTCCGCCCAAGGCTTAGAATCTGTGTTGATTTCTATCCAAAGTTTGATGTCCTCGAACCCCTATGAGAACGAGCCTGGCTTTGAGAACGCCAAGTCGGAACGCGATCAACAAAATATGGCTCATTATGTCGCCAAGGTAAACAAAAATAGATGATAATGTGCAATCGTAACAATGTCACCCATAAATTTAATGTTTCACTAACGGTCTAACTGTTTCGCCTCATGTAGATCCGCCACGAAACTCTGCGCATTTCAGTTATCCAGCGGCTCGAAGAGTTTCTCGGTATCCAATCGGACGGCACAATCTTTCCCCCAGGCTCACCCGGACTTGGAGAGGATGAAGAGGAAGAGGACCGCCTGACTGGAGAGGATGGCCGCCCAACCTTTGAGCCCTTTCAAGATCTCCTCAAGCATAGATTCCTCTGGTACTATGAATCCTACACGCTCGCGATCGACGCTGCAGAACCCAAAGTTCACCCGTCACAGGCATTCAAGAAGATGCCTTTCGAAAACACCGGCAACACAATGGATGGCCGTTTCTACTACCCAGACCTCCGCAGGCGCCTGGCCCTCATCAAACAGACGATCATGAACGAGACAGAAAGCTGGGCCACGGAGGGTCTGAAGGTGAAAGCAAAGGAGTCCAGAATCGCGGTAAATCTCCAGCGCCAGCACGAGCAGATCGTTGAGGACCTGAAGAATAGGAAAAATTTCATGATAGACATGTCCCTCGAGAACGGGAATCCGTTCCTCTGGAACATGACCTACTTTGGCAAACCCATGACACAGCTGGACGGCGGTATCTTCCGGATCAGAATCTGCCTCAGCCCCAAGTTCCCTGAAGAACAGCCGCGGGTTATTGTCACGACGCCCTTATTCCACAATCGTATCTCCAAGGATGGCGTTTTGTGCTATTTCCCGAAGAAGACGGAAGAGATGAAGGCGCATGTTGAGGCTATTGTGGAAGCTCTGGAGGAGGAGTATCCGCCCTATGACCCGCGTACGACCGTGAACCCTGAGGCGTCGAAGTTAATTTGGGGTTCTGCGGAGGATAAGAAGAAGTATAATCGGTTGCTCAGGAGGTCGGTGCAGCGGAGTATTGAGTAAGCCTTGTCCTATTTTATTATTTTCAAAGTCTTTCTGAATACAATACTACACTAGAGGGGTTATGTTTATTGGAAAAATGGGTTTGCTAAGCCCTTTTTTTTTAACTTAATAGGGAGTGAGTTGGCCTGCTTTTGCGAAAGTTTGGAATTGAGCTAGCCCTGGATAGAGAGACACTTTTTCTTTCCTTGGTTGGGTCATGGTTCGGGCCATTCCACCACCAAAGCCTCCAATTTGTCTTCTTTTTTTCATTTTTATCGCGGAAGCAATGCGTTTACTTGAAGAATATCCGAAGAAGAAGACTTCTGTGATGATTTTACTTGCCCTATTTCCAGTTGCAAGATTTAATTCTTTTCTTTTTTCTTCTTCTCTCTTTTTTTCCTTCTTTTTTTTCCCCTTTCCTCCATCCTTTTGTTTTTCATTGTTTTTCATTTCATTTCTTGTTTTCCATGATACATTATGTTCCTTACTGGCATACTTTTTTAAGAAATGTACGCGTGTGTCTTGTTTTTTTCTGCGCTCTTCTTCGGCTTCAGCTGTCTTTTAAACCCCCCTTTTTTTTTCTTTTATAAAATCAAAACAAAACTAGTTATGGGATGATTTTAGGCATGGGTTTCTTAGTAGTTGTTGGCTTGTTTCCTTATTCTTGTGTCTTTCTATGATCATTTCGTCTACCTCTTTGTTTACTGGCAGTTAGATAGAGCAATATTTTATGTATTCAAGTTCATCATGTTTATTCTAGTACTACTGCGTAGTTAGTTTCAAGAGCTTTCAAATGAACTTGTTGTTGATCTGCCGCGTGGTTCCAGCTTCGTGCAGTACAGACAGTACTGTAACTAACTAAATAGTGGAAGAGCTCCCCCGCTAGCCCCAATCTGGCATTCAGCTGGTTCTCTCACCATCACCATCTCATGTCAAAAGTTCCAATGTCAATGCCAAAACCCCCATTGAACCTTCAATTATCCCATTTTATTTTCATGGAACCATATATTCCAATGCACCAGCGACCCTATTGATAATATACCTCTTAATTGCCCCCCCCCAACCCCCAACCCGCCTGTTACCCCTTCTGTGTCCACCACGCGGCCACCTCCGGAATTTTCCAAACCAAACCGAATTCCAGCCCCAGAAGCAAAAAGGGAACGCCAGGCATGGCCACCCCGAAGACCATTGAGCTGGGCTCCGTCCTTGTCACTGGCGGCTGTGGTTTCCTCGGCAGCCACGTTGTCGACCAGCTGCTCAATTTCCCCTCCGAAGCCGGCAGAGGCGAAAAGGGCCAAATGCTCCAAAGCCCCGTCCGCAAACCCACCGGCGAGCTAGACACCCGCTTCGCCGTCCCGCGACTCGCCGGTCGCTATCCGACTTATAAAAACACAAAGGTCTCCGTACTTGACCTGCGCACTGCGCACAACCGCT